TATTAGCTCATAAGCTGAGATGGGAGGGAAAGGATACGGGCTAAAAGCTGTCTTTATTTACAAAAGGTATGATCATCTATGTAAAAAAAAAATCAGAATCTACAAAAAGCTACTAGAACTGATGAATATCTTTAGCAAGTTTGCAGGATACAAAACCAATATATAATAGTGAAGTGTATTTCTATAGAGTAGCAACAAACAATCAGAAGTTTCAATTAAAAATACAATAGCATTTACAGTGGCATGAAAATATATAAAATAGGGACAAATCAGACAAAACATATGCAAGGGGAACTAAATAGAGACTAGAAAAATGAGAACAGGAGAAAAACAGAATTGGTAGCAGTTTTATAGGCTGATTTGAGGTTGTGATTATTAAGTTGAAAATGAAACCAGTAGCCTAGTTGTATTTTTTCCAGCATCGTGTAGCTGCTTGTGTATGTGCATAGAGGAAGCATCTGGTCGAGATCTTTTCTGGGCTGTCGGTGTCCTCGAGTTTGAAGGTGCTGAAAAGATGGTGATCTATGCCTAAGGCACCCTAAATATGTCTAAGGCAGTTTTTTTTTTAATTTACGTTTATTCAGCATCATTCATCTATACTTTTCCAGCCACGTTCTGCTATTTAATTTTCTCTTTGAATTAAACTCCTCAATAGTTTTCAGTTCCTAGTTCACCACACATCTTCTACTTTATACAGGCTTTTTATTACCCTTCCAGGTTTTCTGCTATGCCAGATTAAAAATATAAGTCATAATGTAAAGGGAAATAAATATTTGGAGTATTTTTAATAAAGCATGATGCATATTACTAATAGAAAAGCAGGCAGGAAAAATTATCGTATTGTTCTTTAATGATATATAATAATTATTTCTATTTTAATTAGAATTTTATTTGTTTCCTCTTCTGTTTTTCCAAGCAATGGGCCACTTTTGCTCGAGTTTGGTATCTCTTAGATGGGAAAATGCAGCCCCCTGGCAAACTTGCTGCTGTGGCATCAATTAAACTTCAAGGATTGCATAAACCTGTGTATCATCAACTGAGTGAGTATCATTTAGACCTGTAAATTAACCGCAATTTACATGCCAGAATAGAATCTTGAAGTAGTTTGAGTGGGCTGCTTTTAAGGACCTCTTTTTTTCCTGATGATCGTTTATTTCATTCTTGCTAAAAACCTACAAGAGCACTAAAATGAATCTGGCTTATTCATAGGAAAACCATACAGACCAGTTTGCCTGGGACAACCCCAGTTTATACCATTGCCCCAGGAAAATTATCAGTGGCCCCTTCTTTCACACTCAGAAATATCCTGATTTGGGCTATAAATTATATGTTAATTTCTATCCATGTTTCTTCATGCAGCAATATACATTTGAATGGACAGGTTTTAAAAACGAGCAAATAAGCTTGCCCTCTCTTCTAAAAACCTTTTCCTCCAGAAAGGTATGTAGAACTGGCTAGGCATGTAAAGTTTACTTTTTGCTTTTTTAGTTAATAAATTTGCTTTTTTGTATCCTTTTTCCAAAACAAAACAATTTGCTTTCATACTAAAAGACTTCTGCTTATTATAGACTAGCGGCCTGGTGCACGAAATTTGTGCACAGGTAGTGTCCCTAGGTCTTGGCCGGCGATCAGGGCCGATCAGGTTTCCCGCCTCCCCGCCTCCTCCTTCCCAAACTGCCTCAGCGCCCCGCCGCCGCTGGTCACCTGCCATGTCCCACACTGCTCCCTGGTCGTCAGTGCATGTCATAACAAGCGATTGAACTCCCGGTCTCGCAGTCAAACTTCTGAGGGGACACTTTGCATATTAGCCTTTTATATAGAGAGATTATATATATAGACTAGTAGCCCGTTGCACGAAGATTCGCGCAATAGGCCTTCCTTCCCCTGGCTATTGGCACTGGTTTTCCTCCGGCACCCAGTACCCAGGCCTTTGGTCCGGCCACAGTGGAGAAGCCAAGCCTCTTCAGTCTTCAGTCTTCAGTCTGTAGTCTTCAGTCTTGGCTCCTTGCCTGCGTATGCAAATTAACGTCCATCTTTATTGGGTTAATTTGCATAACCACTCTGATTGGCTGGTGGGCATAGGGGAGGGACACCAATTTGCATGTTTCTCTTTTATTAGTGTAGATAATTTTGATTGACTTCACTTAACCCAGGCCAGTGATGGCGAACCTATCACATGCGTGTCAGAGGTGACACGTGAACTCATTTTTTTGGTTGATTTTTCTTTGTTAAATGGCATTTAAATATATAAAATAAATATCAAAAATATAAGTCTTTGTTTTACTATGGTTGCAAGATAAAACGATTTCTATATGTGACAGGGCACCAGAGTTAAGTTAGGGTTTTTCAAAATGCTGACACACTGAGCTCAAAAGGTTCACCATCACTGACCTAGGTTCATCACTGTTCAACCTGCTGGATCCAGGTGTCATTCCTCATCTGGCTTGACCTGTCAACAACATTTGTTGTGGTTGATCACAGTTTTAATTACCTTTTTATTTTGTATCATGAAATATATATACAAAGAGATAGAGATGTATCTATCTATATAAATATAGGTATTATTTTAAAGAAAATTAATGATAATAATGAACTCAATACCCATGCACTCAGTTTCCAACTTATTTTTGCGATTACAAACAACATTGCTTTCAATATTCTTGTACCTTTTTCCTGGTGCTCACATGGAAGAGTTTATCTGACATCTCAGTAAAACAGGAATTTGGGGTTCAAAGCTGGCTGGGAAGCTAGCTAGTCTTTATGCCAATGTCCTCTCCTGCCAACAGCATGTAAGTTTCTGTTACTCCTCATCTTTAGTAACACTGAATATTTTCATTCTTTATAATTTTGAACACTAGATGTGAAATGCTCTCTCTTAGTGGTTTTAATTTACATTTCCCTGATTACAAATGGAGCTATCTCTTCATTTGTTTATTAGCCTTTTATCAGTTCCTCCCCTGTGAAATGTCTGTGCATGTCTTTTGCTCTTTTTTTTAAACTGGGTTGTTTATTCTTTACTTTTTTCTAATTTTTATTATGAAAGTTCTAGCTTTTTCAGAAATGTTCAGTATTGTACAGTGAATTTTTTTATGCCCTTAACTTGGATTCCATAGTTCTAAACATTTTATCATATATCTTTTACTCAGTCATTTGAAAACAAGTTGAAGATGTTATTATCTTCCCTACATACACTAGCACAGGAGTCCTCAAACTTTTTAAACAGGGGACCAGTTCACTGTCCCTCAGACCGTTGGAGGGCCGGACTATAATTTAAAAAAAAACTATGAACAAATTCCTATGCACACTGCACATATCTTATTTTGAAGTAAAAAAAACAAAACGGGAACAAATACGATATTTGTATTTGCATGTGGCCCATGAGCCATAGTTTGAGGACCCCTGCTCTAGCATATGTCCCTAAGTAAAAATATATTTTCCTGTGTAACCACATGTTGTTATAAGCAAATAAATAAGTTAATTATGCAGTTTAATATCCAGTGCAGTTTCAAAGTTCCCTAGTAGTCCCAAGAATATTTTTTTTAACCATTACTTTTTTGAACTATGGTCCAACTAGGATTATGTATTGCCTTTAGTTATGTTTTGTTTTAGTGTCTTTTAATCTAGTGTAATCCTTCTCTTATTTGTTTCTTACAATTAATCTTGTGAGGAGTCCAGGCTAATTTTTATGGAGAGAACTTTTTAAAAACACATTTTTCACTGTTTTTCTGGGATGCCATTCTTCCTCTTTCTTCACCCCTTATTGATTCCATTTTCCCAGTTCCCTTTTGCTCTCTTCAACTTTCTGAACTCCCACTCATTTTTCTCCCACTAAAAATTGGATGTGTCCCAGAGCCCAGTCCTTGGACCTCTTCACATTCTCTATGTGATCGCATTCAAGCCTCATGCTTCTAAACACAGGGTAGGCTAAAAGTAGGTTTACAGTTGTGAATACGTGAAACCCAGTTTATTCTTGTATTATTATTTATTAACTAGAGGCCCGGTGCACAAAAATTTGTGCACTCGGGGGGAAGGGGGCGTTCCTCAGCCCGGCCTGTGCCCTCTCGCAGTCTGGGACCCCTCGGGAGATAACGAACGACCTGCTGGCTTAGGCCTGCTCCCGGGTGGCAGAGGGCAAACCAATCCCTAGGTGCAGCCCCTGGTCGGGCTCAGAGCAGGGCCGATTGAGGAGTTGGGGCGCCACCCCCTGTCATGCACAGAGCAGGGTGGATTGGGAGGTTGCGATGCCCTCCTCAGTCACGCTCAGGGTAGGGCCGATTGGGGGGTTGGGACACCGCCCCCTGTCACCCTCAAGGCAGGGTCGATGGGGAGGTTGTGGCGCCACCCCCGTCACGCACAGAGCAGGGCCAACCAGGGGTTTGGGCAGCTGCCCCCTGTCATGCACAGAGCAGGGCCCATCAGGGGGTCGGGGAGCTCCCCCCTGTCACGCACAGAGCAGGGCCCATCGGGGTTGGGGCGCCGCCACTGTCACACTCAGGGCAGGGCTGATGGGGAGGTTATGGCTCTACCCCGTCACACACAGAGCAGGGCCCGTGGGGGGCCGGAGGGCTTGGGGGGCCGCACCCTGTCACACACAGAGCCGCAGGGCAATCAGGGGGTTTGGGCGCTGCCCCCTGTCACGCTGATCCCGGTGCCGGGAGGCATATTACCCTTTTACTATATAGGGTAGAGGCCTGGTGCACGGGTGGGGGCCGGCTGGTTTGCCCTGAAGGGGGTCCTGGATCAGGGTGGGGGTCCCCACTGGGGTGCCTGGCCAGCCTGGGTGAGGGGCTGAGGGCTGTTTTCAGGCTGGGGGTGACTGAAGCTCCCAACTGCTCCTTTTTTCCTTTTTTTTTAATTCTGGCCAACTTTAGCTTGAGGCTTGGCTCCAGCTCTTAGGCCTCGGCTGCTGAAAGTAGGTTTCTGGCCTTTGCTTACAATGTTGCGAATCTGCTGGCTGAAGTCCGGGGGTATTTGTTACATAGTTTCTTAAACTGCAGGTTCAGAGGCCTGCAGCCACAGGCAGGGACGTTGGTTTCCTCTGTCACTGAGGGAAGCAAGCCTCATGTTAGTTTCAAGCTGCCTGGCTGCCGGCCGCCATCTTGGCTGTCAGTTAATTTGCATATTCTGCTGATTAGCCAATGGAAAGGGTAGCAGTCGTACACCAGTTACCATGTTTCTCTTTTATTGGTGTAGATTATTGTATTATTTTCATACTGTAAAGCTACTTTTGACCCACCCTGCATAATCTCTATGCTAATGGCTCCCAAATTTATGTCTCCAGTTTTGACCCTTTTCCTATATTGCAGACTCACATAGCCAAATTTCTACCCAGAAAAATCTTGGGTGTCTAACAGACATCTGCAATAGAATAAGTTCATTTGAAGATGTTTTACTTCATGATTTTCTCCATCCCGACCAACCTGTTTCTTCCATTTTTTTCCATCTCAATTAATAGCGTCTCTTCTTTTTTAGTTGTTCAAGTTAGAAGTCTTTGCTTTATCGCTGACTCCTTTACAGTGATATCAATAAAGTGATAAACAAGATCTCTTAGGTTGTCTTTGTAGAAATGCAAATGATGCAAAATTTGGGGGAAAGTGGAGTTAGCAGTAGTGACCTAATTTCCTTCTTAAGGTATAGCACTTACCTGTCACCAAATGGAGGTTCTGCTTTCTGAAAAGCAGGCCATTATTGCAGAAGTTTTTCTTACACACTTATGAATAATCATTCTGCTGGAACACCAGAACTTTCCTGGTTGCCTGTCAGGCCATCCCTTTCTAGGAGAGTCACTTTTTTATGAAATTAGAAATTTGCATTTTTAAAGGTTGAATTGTAGTTTTGTTTCACACTAAATTTAATATATAACTTACATCAGCAAAACTTGCCCTGTCCACAAGATGTCACTAAAATCAAAACTTAAAGAAAACAGTTTTCAGTTTAAAAATATGTTGTGTATTTAGTTTATTGCTAACATTTATTGGCTTAACCAGTATTTATTAAGCATGCATTATTTGCTCATAATCACTGCAGAATGTTTATTTGAAAAGTGACATTCAATTTTCTGTCTGAAATACATCAGTCTGTTGCATGCTTCAGTGTCTCTGGTTCTATTGTCTATTTCTTTAAATCTTTTAAGGACTTTTTAGGGAAAAAAATTTATCATGCTCTTCTTAAAGTAACCCAGTTTGCCCATTTTTCTCTTGCTATTCAGTTAAGTGTCAATCTATTTTAAATGTTACTTATTATTTTATTTTAATTCTGCCATCTAATTTTGCAAATAAATTTAGCTTCAGTGGAAAGTTAAAGATTCTATTTTCCCTCTAAATAGGTGTCATGGAAAGATCCTGAACAGGGTTTAAGTAATCTGGTGTGTGAGCTTTTGGCAAGTCACTGAATCTTAATGGGCCTTAGCTTCTTCAACTGTAAATATCTGGCTAAAAGCTAAGGTATTTCAACATTCTTTGAAACTATATAGATATCTCGTCAACCTCTTTGTTATTTTGGTTCATTTGACCCCTACTGCCTTAGTAACCTACCATTTGTCACTTTTAGTAACGTTAGTCACTTAATTCACCAAATACTATCAAACTATTCTTTTCAACACACTAACAGCAAGCTTCCCAGATTTTCCCTTCACACCTCTGGATTCCCTTTCAGTCTAGTGAAGAAAGCTCATCATTAACCTCTTTCCTTTACCCTTGTCCTGTATAGACTATGAACTTCTCTCAGAAAATTATCTCATTCAAAGTCTAAGTTCTGTATAGAATCACATACTGCAATCTTTAGTTTTCATATACAATGCTTATTTATACTTTTTATTTTTTCAGTGGTGTTTTTCTTAAATAAATAAGCTTCTAGAATCTTTTGAAGTTTATTTTTTCTATTAATAGAATAAGCATTTAATAAATGTTTCCGATTACTTGATCTTGTCCCATATAGTAACTCGTGATAGCTTACATGTTAACGTTTGTGGGGTTTTTTGTTCTTTGGGTGTGTTTTTTTAGATGAACAGCCGAACTTAGGAGTACTTTTCACTGGAAAATTAGTCTGATACATATATTTTAATTTTCAGGTCATCCCACCTGTCTAATATGAATGCAGAGTTGAGAGTGACTGTTTAAATTTAACAATTTAATATGGTTGGGAAAAACATTGGGTTAGGAGTTAAGCATAAGATCATAGTACTCTTTTCTCTACATTTGAGAAGAATAATAAATTGTGATGTTTTACATTTGTTTTCAATTTACCTATTGGCAAAACATATGCTTTTTATAACTACATGCATATTGTTTTCATTTACTCTTCTGTTTTTAAGGAAAAATTTATACTAGACATTTAAAAGCATTTAATATAAATACATTTTTAGTGAAGTGAAATTATTAATAGAAAGACATAATAGAAATAACAATAATTTGCTTTTAAAGGTGTATTGTTTATATTGGCATCTTTATTAAATCCTCTTTTACCTTCCAGTGTTGAGATTTTCCAAATGGCTAGCCAACTCTTTCTATACTTAGATGTTATATAAAGCAGTAACAGAAATCCATTCAAGGATGTTAATGTTGTACTGAAACTTCCTTTATATTTTTAATGTGTTGTTTAGCCTTTGGTAAGCTTTATAAATAACCAAGGTCACTTTTCTTAAAGGTTTTTCGTATAAAAATCTTACCTTTTTTCTTTTTAAATCTAGGTGACTGTGGTGATCATGTTGTCATAATGAACACAAGGCACATAGCATTTTCTGGAAACAAATGGGAACAAAAAGTATACTCCTCACATACTGGGTAAGACGATGCCATTGTCACAGAAGATAGGCGGTTGAAATGTATTACTTTAATAACACCATTGATCTTATTTAAAAGAAAAATGTCTTTTCAAAATTTGGCATTTAAAAAAATACTAATTTTACTCATGGTAATGTATAATTTACTCAGTCAAAAAAAACCAAACCTGGACCAAATCACAGTTATTACTAACAGAATTTGTTTTTCCTTGAAACTTTTCACATGAACTTTTCCAATCAAGATTATTCTCATTTTTTAGCCAATATTCTCACTTCTTTCTTTCTGCTTCCTACAATTCATCTGCTATTTCCAGAACCATCCTGAATATCTGAAAGTACTTGAGATGTTTTAGTGGCGAGCAAAATCCCAAGTTTGGAAGATACCTAAAATCTCCACAACATCCCTTTGGAGTTATAGGTGTCTCTGCCTATGTTTGAATAATACCAATCCCATAGCTCATAAGATAGCCCATTCCACCTTTGAAGTGCTCTAAATTTCAGTAAGATCTTTATGCTATTGAGTCATAATCTGTTGTTCTCCTGCTTTCACATTGGTTTTATTTCTTCTCTTTGAGACAAAGTGAAATAATTGTATCTCTTCCACATAACATTCTTCAGATAATTTTGAGACCATCAGCAGCAGGTGCCCACTGGTTTATCTTTTCCTTGGGCTTTAAACATATGTGGTTCCTTCCGGTGCTTTATATGGCTTCACTTCAAGTATCCCCACTGTATCCTGGTCACTCTTTTCTAGATAGAATCATTGCTTTTTCTTTCTCTGTTTCTGTTGACTCTTGACTTATACTTTGGACACAGTATTTTTATTATGCTCCTAATATTTTATTGCAATTATTTATTCAGCATTTATCTTTCTAGTTGTCAAAGTTTTAATGCATGCTAATGTTAGAAAATACAGAGTTTAGAGAAGGAACTAAAAATCATCTTCATCCATTAACTAAACATTTTAATATATATGTTTATATCTATTTTTACTTAATTTAAATGTTATTTTCAGTCACTGTGTAGTAGTGCACAATATAATTTACTCTACTTCATCATTGCTCTGTTTTTGAAATTAAAATTTTGACTTTTAGAAAGAGCTGGAAAACAAGCCAACTGAGTATTGCATTACTCAAGTTGTTCCGCTCCTCGGAATTTCAGTATAAGGTCCAAACTTCTGAAATATAATGTAAATGGGATTATGGTTTAGAAGTTGCCATCCTAGTTTTAAAAATAGATAATCTTTAGTGTAGAAGGTGTAAAGTATTCTTTTCCTATGGAGAGAAAGAATACAAAAATAGAAGTTTAGCCCTGGCGGGTTTGGCTCACTGGATGGAGCGTCGCCCTGGGGACTGAAGAGTCCCAGGTTCGGTTCCAGTCAAGGACATGTACCTTGGTTGTGGGCACGTCCCTAGTGGGCGTGTGCAGGAGGCAGCTGATCGATGTTTCTCTCTCATTGATGTTTCTAACTCTCTATCCCTCTCCCTTCCTCTCTGTAGAAAGTCAATAAAATGTGTAAAAAGAAAAAAAAAAAAAGGTAAAATGAGTTACCTAATATTAGACTGGTAGCCAGTAGGAAATCTAGATTCCAGACTTTAATCTGTGATATTTAAGTGACTGAGCTACCTCTAATATTATCGCAAATAAACACATTTTTAATTTCCAATTTACACATTATATATATATTTTTTATCTGAACACGATGAAATATTTTATTACTTAGGGGCAACATATAACTCTTAGTTAATAGGAAATAGAATCATGGCCTCTTTAGAGTTTGAACTTTATTTCAGAACCAGATAGTCTACCATTATTTTCCCCAAACTTGACCACTAGCTTATGCAGACGTTTAGTCTAATTTGGCAGGAAATTTTTACCATTGCTTTTTCTTTCTTAATTCAAACAGTGATAAACTACCCCAGGATAAATGAATGAGTGAATGAGCGAATGAGTGAATGATGAATAACTAAAGTCCAATAAAAATATAAGTAGTTATGCCAAGACATTTTCCAAGATGTGGAACTTTTTGTGAAATAATGATGGTTTCCCACATAAAATAATAGTAATTCATATAGCATAGACTACTACTTAATTTTTAAGACATTAATGAATAGCATAGTTTCCAGAAGCAAGTATAATTTCAAAATAAAAATAATTTTATATTATAAAAGAATATTCAAGAATACTATACCATAGCCTACTCCCAGCTTTAATGTCTTTTTTGCTTCTTTTAATAGCTACCCAGGTGGATTCACACAAGTAACAGCTGCACAACTTCACCAAAAGGATCCAGTGGCAGTAAGTCTGTTGGATTCCCCCTCCCCGCCATGGAAAAAGCAGACATTGCTTTTTCCATCTTTTTCCTCTTCTAATGTAGCTAGCATTCAAGACTATAAATTCTTCATATTAACTCTACCACACAAGCTTTGATAAGTATTATTATCATTCAGTTCTATATATTTTAACATTACTATTTTGTATGTTTTGCATTTAGTCAAAGAATTGTGATGCTTTTTAAAAAATTTCTTGACACCTGCTGGATCACCTAAAATATATGTTTGCTGAAGATGTCTTGGGGAGAAAGATATATATACTACATGTTTATCCATTACAGCAAATACGTTAACTATATTCTAATCTTATATTCTTACTGACATTTTTTGTTCACTTGATTTATTGATTATCTGAAAGCGCTATATTAAAATTTTAGTTGTAGATTTGTTAATTTTTTTCTTGTAGTTCTGTCAGTTTTTGCTTTGCATATTTTGAAGATTTAGCAGTAGAAAATTTTAAGTTTGGAATTATAATCTTACTAAATAATTGATGAGGGTGTATGCACCTCTTTATCTCCAATAATGCTTTTTAACCTGAGGTCTACTTTTTAAAATATTAATGTAGCTCTATAAACCTTCATTTGATAGTATTAGCCTAATATAACATTTTATAGTTTTACTTTAAATTTTACTGCACTGTATTTTTTTTTCCCCCCTCACTTTCTTACCTTCTTTTAGATTGGTAGAGTTTATTAGAAGTCTAAGATTAATCAATATATTTATTTTCCTTCAAATCAAATCAAGGAGGCCCTTAGAAGGTTTTTAATACCCACTTTCCCTTATAATCAATATGTTTTCCCTATCCTTAAGATACTTTTAAATTAAATTTATTAGAGTGACATTGGTTAATACAATCATAAAGATTTCAAGTGTACATTTCTACAATACAAGATTTGTACATTGCATTGTGTGCCAACCACACAAAGTCAAGATTTTTTTAAATCCTTTCAGTTCAACATTCTTGTTATTATTTTATACAGTTTTTTTTTTTTATTTTCTTTGCTTACAATCCCTTCATATAACTCAGCCTTCCTTCTGGGTTTAATTTCCTTTTTAAGGAAACTTTACTATTTGTTTCTTTTTTAAACTTTGATAGTACACCATAACTGTTACACAAATTATAGTTTTAATATTAAAATGTCTTTAAAATTAAAGTTTATATATTAATCAGATATCCTCACTGAACACTAGGAGGCAGTATAATTCAACTTTTTGATGTTAAGAATTTGGCATTGGGTAACAGTAATTTCATTATTTTTATATAAACAAAGAATGAAATGTATTACAAAATGTTGGATGGAGGCTTGGAAACTATTTCAGAGTTAAATCCATTTGAATTATCACCTCGTTAAAAGATCTTAATTTTTTTTTTTAAGTCCTAATTTTGACTCTGTGTTGGCATATTACTTCCACTACCTGTCTATCTGCAGCAATGAGTTTTTCCCAGCAGACAATTTGCGAGTCAGTACTTAGTGTATGTGACTTGTAAGAGAATGTGTTTCATAGTGCATTCTTCTGGTATTCATGGAATAGTATTTATAAAATACATAATTAATACATTTAGTAATTATTATTAGGTTATTAAATATTTCAAAGCACTTTAAATCACTTAGATCATTCTAAACTCAAATAAATATATTGATTCAGCCCTTTCCTTCTATCCTTTATCCCTCTGTCATATATTTTAGTTTACTTAAGAGCTTTTGTGTACTCACAGTTTTCTTCTAATATGGTTCCTTATGTTTCTCCGCCTCCTATAACTAGTTAATAAAGTTATTTTGTGTGCATTAAATGGCACATGCCCTGGGTGACCAGTTATCTGAGAAAAGTGATGTTTTTAAACTCACCTTGTTTTATCTTTTTCACTTTCTGAATTCCTTTAAGCATTTGCTTAAGTCTATGTAGCTAGAATTACTTGATTGTATGTGTATGTTGTGTCCTATTTATTTGGGGGATATTTATGTTTGTATATTTGTTTTTTTCTCCTCTCAGCTTATAACCTTTTCACATTTTCTCACTTTTTCTAAAGTAGACTATGTTTGCATTTTTTAATAAATTTTTAAAATATCAACTTGTTAATTCAAGTAAGTACAACTAAATTGTTTAAGAACATGGAAGCCAAATGCCATGTAATCCTACTAATGGAGTAAAATTGCTAAAGGGATGATTTTCTGAGTATGTAATGACTTGCTGACTTGCTGACCCCGAAAAGTTGCTGAATAATTCTAACATTGTCAGTTTCTATAGGAGACTTTTTAAAACATTAAACATTTTAAAAGCTAGTTTCTAGATCAGTGCTGTCAAGTAAAACTCTCTCTCTACCTTGATGGAAAGTTCTGTGTCTGCACTGTCAAACATGGTCACCCCTAGCCACAGCTGGCACCTGATTACTTGGAAAGTGGCTGTGTGGCTGAGGAACTGAATTTTCTATGACTTAATTTTAACAATATGTTAATATTTAAATAAAGTCTCCAGAACATAAAGTACTAACAGAACTAAGCTAGAAAATAAATGGAGAATATTTATGAGATGTCATTAGCTTTTATGTGTAGAAAGGTTTTGATGAGAAAATAGAAGGAACAGAAAATCCTTTTATAGTAAAACTCTGTTCTAACATGAATTGTTTTAAGGCATTTAGCTTTAATGCATGTGAAATTAAATCCTTGAAATGTGAGTACAGATGATGAAAATCTATACAACACTCCAAATGTCTCCATCAGCAGTTTTGTGAAGAACTCACCTTATATTACTATACACTGTATGCCAGGAGGCCCCCGGGAGAGTATGGAACACAGGGTGACACTGTGTGGCCTTCTGTTGACAAAACATACATCACTCTCAAACCAACAGTGAGGATAACCATCACAGGGGAAATAAATCATGGAAAGGTTAGTTTGTCATATTGGTAATGGGTTTGGTAGAGAAAAGAGACTTTTTGTCTTCCTGGTAAGTTATGGAGAGAAACACATGAAGGTGTGATTTCCTGTACTGTGTGTCTGTTCTGGGAGTTCGACTGCCTGGTTTGAATTCGAGCATGGACACTTATAGGTACACTAGAGGCCCAGCGCACAATTAAATCGTGCGCATGTACGGTCCCCTGGCCTAGCCTGCTATCAGGGCCATGTCCGTGCCCTACAATGCCTTGAATGGTCTGCGGACACTGCCGGTGCCCCGCTCCGCCCACCGCAAGAGCTACTGCTCATTTGGTCATGACGACCACAGGCCTTTTATGATATAGATTATATCAGGGGAATTCTCACTACATCTGTTTCCTCCTCTGTGAAGTGAGGCTCAGCATTGTAAACAAGATCAGATGTAATGAATGCACTGACCACTATACACAGAGCAAGTTCCATGAATGTTAGCCATTACCACTATTGCAGATTTGCGACCTCTCAAGTCAGTGTCATAACTGCATGTACGGTCAGGCTTAGTGTTTGAGATGGGAACCTCCTGCTCTAGTCACTACACAATAAATATTTGAGCCATAGGTGTTTGTAAGAGCTTAGAGAACTTCTTAGTCTAGCTAAATTTGGCACACAGATAGGATATTTTTAATCTCTTCCTTTGGTCCTTTCTGCTAATTAAAATATAAATTAAACAAACATAGAGCCTAAAGAAATAGTAATGTGTAAATAATAAAAGTTCCTTTTCTATTGCTGCCACATAACGACTCTGGTGTCGGTTTGTTTCCTTTCATATACCTATTGTCTTAGCCTACTGGTTTCCATCACTGTCTAATTAAATCTGCCTTCTTGATATCACAAGTCATATTTGTATGTTACTGATTCTTACTGTGTGTCTTTCCAGATTGTAAAACTAGCTATTTATGGCATGCTCCCAAAAAACCTTCACAGGAGGACCATGATGGAGAGGCTGCATCTTTTCCCAGATGAGGTGAGTCAGTGGTCATTGGTAATGACACTTATCCTCAATTAAATATTTTTTCTTCTTTTAAAATAATTGTGGTCCTTCACCAAAGTATAAATGGCCTTTATGAAATCACAAGAATTTAATAACTTCTCTTTCTGATGATACTGTCGCATTTTTTTATATAAACTATAATTTCTAAAAGACACAGAAGTAATATTATTTATCCCAGTTTGAAGGTAGCCAGGTTTGTTTGAGTGGAGATGTTTTAAGTATTCATGGTAGTTCAGTTGAACAGTAAATTACTTAAATAATTTCAGACTATAAAATAAATGAGCCCATTTTCCCAAGAATGGATTGTTAAATATTCAAAAGCTTGACAACACTTGTTCTTGTCGAGGCATTCATGCATTGCTGATGGAAGTATAAAATGGTGCAAACCCACAAGGAATCTGGCAACTATGAAGCATTTCACAAAATACATAGAGATTCCTGTTCAATCCAGCAATCTCATTTTCGGTCTAAAAATATACAAGGTTACTATTTTTACATGATTTATTATAGTAAAATAATAGAAATAAATAAATGCTTACTCATAGAAAATTGGATAAACTTTGATATCCATTAAGTTGAGTACTATTGTAAAAATAGAAGGACAAACATTGTTGTGACTTGATAATTAATGTTTTTCCCAGGATATATTATTAAGTGAAAAAAAGAAAGGTGACAATGTAGATAACTTACCACCTTTTGCATGCATATATTCATATGAATGTTTACACACATATCTACTATATCTGCTTTTCGCATAAAGAAATACAGGAAGAATAAATGAGAAAATGGAGTTGGCTATTTACTGGTACATGGGCACAAAGAGATGAAAGGAATAGGGAAGGAAATGAGAATTGGGGAGGAGAATACCTTTTAGATTATTTTTTTACTTTAATCTTTTAAAAATTTTATATATCTATATATATATATATAAATATATATAAAAGACTAATATGCTAAGTGTCCCCTCAGGAGTTTGATCGCTCGCTATGACATGCGCTGACCACCAGTAGGTGGCATGGAACGAAGGAAGGCCCTGGCCAGCAGCCGGGGAAGGCAGGCCCCGGCAGGCAGCCAGAGGCTGAAGAGAAGTAAGAAATGGTGGACCTTAAGAATGACTTCCGGTTTTCTCATTGCGCAGAATACAGTCCAACACTGCTGCACGAACATATTTTACCCTTTGTTCTCCCTGCATGATCTACAATAATAATCTGCTTCGTGTTGGTATTTACTGCTGTGTTGCTGACAATTACCTGAAAGAGAAGTCGGGGTGCTTCCTGGACTGGAAAAAGTATAGCTAAATCAGAAAGCAGGTCTAATTAAACAAGTTTATTCTATATCTATAAAAGGCTAAGTTGATTTGCGCATGCACAATACATAAAAAGCTCTCGCTGGTGCCAATCTCACACGTGTGTTTTGATCTGTCATTGTTGATCGTAAATTTGGTTGACACTTCTATTATAAAGGGCGAATAGCTATATTAAAATATTTCTTCTAATTAATTTCCTTTCATTGTGCATGAATCCATGCACCAGGCCACTGGTTCATAAAATAAAATGACAGTATGACCAGAAGTAAGCACAGCAATGCCCAGATCTTATTTTCTAAATGCTGTCCCCTGTTGAAAAGGAACCTTGTTCCCTTTAGGAAAATGATTGATTCTGATTCTGAATGAGAAAAAACACAAACTTATTACAGAATATACTCATGCAAAATACTAAATAGTAAGTAGCAGAAGGTAAGGCAATGCTCAAACACCAATAGAGAAATACCAAAATAAACATAAGAGGTAGGTTGAATTGGTGCCTACTGACCACATATATGACTGTATTAGCCTTAAGATGAATAGTAGTGATAAATATGTTGTATAGAAAACAAAAATCTATGAGCCCACAATGACAGTCTAAAATTTTTTTAACTTGTTATAATTTGTCTTCTCCTTTCTGGAAAAGGAAAAAACTTTTCTCTAGAGAAGAATGTCATCTAAAAAAATATAGGAATGATACTGCATTTAAAAGGTGACCATTATCAGCATATTCTATAGTCATCAGGAAAAATATTTTTGTAGAACAGGATATTTTGTTTCAAGACATTGCACAGAGAAAAGATACTATTTGAAGAAGAAAAGATAAGATACTTTTATATTAGGTATCTGGTAGACAGACACCAACCATAATCAAGAGGTCAAACGTACCATCATTATGGGACAAACTGACATCATGTTTTTTTCTGAAGTGTGGATTACAAGTTTGTAGCACTGGAAGTAGTACACCCAGTACTTGCATTCATCAGACGAAAAATTGTGAGAATGAACCAAGGCAATGCCTTTTTGAAGTTGAAAGAAGGGGAAAACATTAAACTATACATATGTGTGTATATTTAAATAGAACTTAGTGACTTCATAGTTTTCAGAATTGAAGACATCTAATTTATCATAGAAATATGTCAAGATTTAAATATGAAATATATTACTATATGGTTATATCATTGATCTAATGTATTTTTCAGGGATTTTTCCAAGTTTTATTTTTTTCTCACTTTATAGCTACTGCTTTTGTTTATTATTTAATACCAAGTATTACTAATTTATTACTAAAGAATATGTTTTAAGAAAACTTAAGCCTAACTTTTCATTTAATCCAGGATATACCAGAAGATATTCTTAAGAATTTAGTGGAAGAGCTTCCACAACCACGAAAAGTACCCAAACGTCTAGATGAGTACACACAAGAAGAAATAGAGGCTTTCCCAAGATTGTGGACTCCGTAAGTCTTTCTCTTTCCCGTCTTTGTTTTCAATGTTTGTTTTTTTAAGCTGAGTTTAGTATCCCTTCTTAAATGATAAGGCTCTTGAAGTGGAAAGAATGAACTCTTCTTTACTTTCTTGGATACTCTTAGCAGCTTCTACCGGCAAATAAACTCTAGATGTAGATAGTTTCTAAGTCTTAAGACCTTGCTAGGTAAATGCAAAGGTGTTCATAGGTGCCTATGGTTGTCAGATATTTTGTTTGGGGGTGACATTATTTGGATTAACTGTGGTCTCTTAGAATGATAAATGAATTGTCATTACTTAAAACAAAGTGATTTTCCATTTTCCAGATTGCTTCACTAAGCTGAGACTATTATGTAATGAAAAGTCCTTAATCCTAGATACTTATAGTCTTAATCCAAATTGAAAAACAAAAAACTTCCTCTTTTCTGTACAGTTCCCTGTACCTCAGGTCTGGAAAGCTGCTTAGATTGGACATACTCTGTCTCATCTGATTGCTTCCAGGTTTCTTTGCCTGGTCTTCCATCTCTCCATGACCTGGCTCTTCCCTATCTTTTCACCTTAAATTCTTCCCACTCCACTGCACTGTTCAAGCAACAGCAGACTGCTTAAGACTGGCAGTCTTTTTGTCCAATTTAACTCTTCCTTGCCCTTGTTCTGCTGTTACTTCTGCATGAAATAAGTCCCTTACCCTTTCTTTTCATTCCAGGTTTCCTTGTAGCAGGAATATGTACTAGATACCAGGCTCTCCTTTATGCTATTAAAGTTGTGATCTTTCTTCACAAGTAACCACACCACATACAGGGTGGGGCAGAAGTAGGCTTACAGTTTGTGAGTATGCAAAACAGTTTATTCTTGTATTATTACTTATGAATTGATGCATTATTTTCCATCTGAGCAACTGTAGACCTACTTTTACCCCATCCTATATATTAACTTGTGTTACCAAAATAATTAGGTATGTATAACTTAGTAAAATTTGAGGATATATTATGATATGGGTACTAGTTACTAAACATAAATCATTCAATATTTTATTCTGCACTTTAGAGCTAACATCAAATCTAGTTAATTTTTATTACTGTGGAATGTATGAATAAGGAAAAAGTTTGCATTTTTGGATTATCCAAAAATTATCTAAGAAACAGATAATCTTTTAGTTCAGGACTAACAGAACTTTCCACAATGATGAAAAAGCTCCAAATCAGAGCTGTCTACTGTGGTAGCTCTTGGCCACATGTAGATCTGGAGTACTTACCCTGAGGAGCTGAATATTTCATTATATGTAATTTTAATTAATTTAAATTTCAGTAGCCCCATGTGGCTAGTGACTACCTTAATGGATTATGCCATTTTAGTTATTTGCAATGTCATAAAGTTGTAGAATTGAATGTTATTATATTCACTAGAATTAAATTATTTGAGGTATCATGCAATGCAATCCATTGAAAATGGGATTTCTTATTACTAGTACATTTGCTTTCATAAGGAAAAAATTTTTTTCCTCATTTTGGAGAAGGAACTTGCTTAAAATATGCTTCTGTTCCACCCAAAATAGCTAAGCCAAGAATATAATCTTTTTTTCGAATGTAGTAACTGGAATTTATCCAAGAAGGATCTGCTGGTGAATCTGCAGAGACTTGACTCAAACAGATGTACCTGGATTGCATCATAAATAAATGGACACAAAAATAGCTTGTTTTGTTTTTTTTGTTTCCCTAGCAATAAAACTTGAAATATTTTTATAATATAAAAATGTACATTTTGTAATTGGAATTATCATTAGCTTTTGGTCAATATTAGTTTTTCTACTAGACAGAAAGCTTTTGAACAACAATAATAATTGTCAAACTAAGCATTGAACCCAGTTGGTGATTGACAACATTTTTTAAATCTTAATTAAAAGCTACCATTGTTAGAATTTAATTTAAATTATTTTAAATTACTTACAAAATTCTCTCGGGCCTAACTTCAGCAAACATGAGATTTTTTTATGTAGTTGTTTAGTCATTTTCAAAACAATGGCAAACAAGAAGGAAAGAACTAATTTTTGGGAAAACTGTAAATATTTTTTTATAGTTAAAATCCATTTTCTCATATGAGAAGTATTGCCTATATACCTCACTTCTTAAATTAATGGATACACTTGATAGCTTAGTACTTTTACATCTTATGGATATACATATAAATGTTATATGTTATGAAGTTACATTTTGGGCTTTTTGATGGTACAGAGTAGATGTGTGCTTGCCCTGTGTAAGTGTGTAGGATGCTCATTTAGAACTTATTTCTCAAAGAAACAACAGCACTATCCTTTTTTTCAAAATTTGCTGAGATTATAGCTTTCAAATGGTTAGCTTATTTCATTACTATCGATAATTATTTCCATAGTCATTGCAGTTTTGCCAACACATTACAAAACCACAATAATCATGGAAATCATACTGCTAGCACTGTAATGGAAATGTTTCATTATGTAGGTCAAAAATAAAACTTGGATCATTTTAAGCTCTTTGTTTTCATTTTTTTAAAATTCTGTAAGAGAACTTTCTTAGGAAAAACTAGGTATGTGAAAATTTTCAACTAGAATTGCTTCAAATTATCCACAGTGATAAAACCAAACCAAAAAAAAAAAAAAGAAATGGATTTTTATGTCTCACACATTAAATCAGTACTGTTTTATTTTAAGCAAAATCCTCACCTTTGTAGAGAAACTAAATGTGGAAAGTTTCAGCATCAATAAATGCTTGAAAACAGATGTTTATTATGAAAAACCCTTGTTCATAGTGTTTAATGCCCTTCACAGAATGTGCTTTTAGAAGTGGGACCACAAGAGAGAGAGAGGGTGGTAGAGAGGGTGGTAAGGATGAAAGGGAGGAGGTATGAGGACAACCATGATCGGCCCTAGAATTCTCTTCCCTGAAAGTAGGATTATGTTTAGGTTGTTTTATAGGTAATCCAGGCAGCTCTGGAGAAAGAAAAGAGGGTTCCAGATGCCAGAACATTAGCACTGGAAAGGCAACCTGTAGAGCGTCCTGCCCAGTATAGCTCTAGGACAAGCAGAGATGTAAGCCTGGTGCATGCCCTCTGATGCAAAAGCCTTTAATCCTAAACATTTACAGAGTTCTAGTTTTTGTTAAATTCGTATCCAGAAAAATCCTACTTTTCCTTCTGCCTTTAGAAAATGTGCTTCAGATCAGAGACTTCATTACAGACAGTGGAGAAGGGTTTTTACCTTTTCAAAACCCAAGGAGCAAGGATCTAGACATCTTCAAGATTTTCCATAATTTCATGCTCATCTAGTCATGTAATATTTTCCTATAAGATTTAACTTAATTCGCTGCTCTTCAGTAGTAGCTGGACCTGGTAGCAAGGTTACATTCCAACTTTCCCATTCATTTTAACCAGCTCAGCATTGGCTCAAACCATATACCTCAGTATTTCCAGTGCTAAATTTTGCTCAAATTAGGCATTCTAAATTGTTCTAAACTGTTCCTTTGGATATGAACAGATTAGAACTAGTTGTTAAAATAAAAAGCAATCTCTCTTTAAATGATCAAAACCAAATCATTTACTATATTAGCCAACAGAATTTAAGATTTTAATGCAATAATTGAATGTAACAATTTCTGTTTTAATTGAATGAACAATAATATGATTTAAACAAATTTTTAAGTCTTTTGAGTTTAATTTTTTTTTCCTTAAAGCACTGTTGAGCCTGGCTGGTGTGATTCAGTGGTTGAGTGTCGACCTATGAATCAGGAGGTCACATTTCTGGTCAGGGCACATGCCTGGGTTGCCACCTTGATCCTTAGTAGGGAGTGTGCAGGAGGCAGTCAGTCAGTGATTCTCTCTCATCATTGATGTTTCTATCTCTCCCTCCCTTCTTCTCTGAAATCAATAAAAATATATTTAAAAAAAATAAATGCACTGTTAAACTTTTTCTAATCAGGCTGGTGGTGCAGGGCCAGGAGAAATGAGTGTAAAGGCAGCATTACTCTGCCTCACTGTTACCTGGACAGCCTTTAGTTCAAGGAATATGTGATGTCACTGGATTTCCTGGAATGGTTAACTTTAAATAATCTCATCTATACAATGGAAATGACTTAAAACTCAAACCAACCTTTTACTGTTTTTAAGATTACTCTTCTATCCAAATTTTATTCTAGTCTTAAATATTTTGTTGGAGTAAGCATGATACTGAGAAATATGATTTAGGAATGAAAAGACATAAGACCTATCTGTAATACTTTAGCAATAAAGATAACTTTTTTTAAAAAAAGAAGAGAAGACATAAGACCTAAGGGAGAAGAATAAAATACTTTTGAGATTTATTACACTTATACCCAATTTTATGGACTTACAATGGAAATTCAGATGCTTTTTCCCCTTAGAAAATAAATTATCTTAATGGAGCAAATAATATTAAGTGTCTCTAATTAAACTGTATCACAAACTATGTGTTTTATAGCTTTATGGGGTTTTTTTTTTTTTTTTTTTATAGCTTTATGTTTTATATTATTCACAAACCAAATGGATTTCCCACCATTTTACAATGAAAACTAGACTTTCCCAAAAGATTTTTCCTGAAGGTATTTTTTTTGTAGCAATGTCCCATTTTCAAGATAATGTAAATGTGTTGGCCTCTATCATTCCCATGTTCTAATTTGAGCCTCTGCATTTTTGAGATGTATTTGTTTTATGTTATTGAGATGCAGTGTTTTGCAAGTATCTAGTCCCTTGGCCATAATATTGTGCACCACTACCACCCCTGGTGGCAAATTAACCATCTGCACTTAACCATTCTACTTGATAAGGATTTGGCTTTACCAAGAACTTAGAAAATAATGTCTGTAGATGTTTCTGGATGAACAGTTAATGTCATGAAATTGGAGAAATAATCTTCCTTCATCAGGCAAGTGAAAATGAAATTATGATTCACGAAGACATAAATGTTGATTTTTTTTGTTTCAGACCTGAAGATTACCGGCTGTAAAGAAATGAAAATTGCAGAAAATCACAACGAGGTGATTGAAACTTCTTCCTGATGAGTTTCCCCTGACCTGCAGGGCCAAGTGAAGCGCTGCTGCATTGGGGTGGAAGCTGTATGGGTGCTAAGAGGTGGTGGAGAAAGGTCAGGAAGGGATCTTCCTTTTACAGGAAATTGCAATAGAATACATTATTTTATAGAACTGCTGTCATGTAAATTGGATTTGAATGTTATCAGTAGTGATAAGAATAAAGTTGGCTAACTCACTTGGCTAACTATTCCATTTTGCATTTATGAAAAAAAACAAGTCCTGGGTAGCATTGCAGTGAAAGTTGCTAATAAGGACCTATCTATGCACATTTCCTCAAGTTCCCCACCACTCTTTCTGCCAACTGGGAGAGAGCCGCCTTCACTTTTCCTTCCGTGACTACTTTAACCTCCTGTCCTTCAAAATTGACCCTTCTTCTCAGCAGGGTAAGATTTCCCCTGAAGTATTTACAAACTGCTACCATCCTTTCCCCATCTAGCCTCTTGGTTCCCATGATACCAAAATAACAAAGTAATGCCTAACTATTCCCTAGAAACCTCACTGCCCGCTCTGTGCTGTTTGCAGACCGCTGTGCCATGTCTCTATACCTCCATAGGCTCCTACTCACTTCTGTCCTGGGCACTTAGATTGAGCTGCTGGAATAATCTAGCAAAATCTCGTCTCTAGAAATTAAATGCCAAGCCACTATATTTGGCCATTTTTATGATGTTTTTTCTTTCTTGTTTTCCTTTCTCTTGCCCTAGCCCCGTGGTCGGCAAACTGCAGCTCGAGAGCCACATGCGGCTCTTTGGCCCCTTGAGTGTGGCTCTTCCACAAAATACCACGTGGGGGCGAGCACGTACAGTGCGACTGAAACTTCATAGCCCATGCGCAGAAGTCGGTATTTTGTGGAAGAGCCAGTATTATGTGGAAGAGCCACACTCAAGGGGCCAAAGAGCCGCATGTGGCTCGCGAGCTGCGGTTTGCCCAGCTGCAGTTTGCTGACCACTGCCCTACCCAATTAAGGGATGGATTTAAGACCATCTTTCCCATCCATTCAGCAAAGTGTATTGAATGCCAGGCATAGTGCTAAGCATTGGGAAAACAGAAATTACACATCGTCCCCCAACACATGCCCCAGCAAAGAGTGTACAAGCTACTGCAGAATGGAAAGGAACTATAGAGAGATTCTACCTGGGTGTCAGAGTTGCTGATGTGATAATGTGTGGCCTCTGATGTATGTTTCAGTAGCTGGCATTAAACATGAAGTGTTGCTAGAAAGCACCTTCTGGTGTGCAGGGCACAACTGCTTTACATAAATTAATTCACTTACACCATACATCAGCCCTATAATGTATATAGTGGTATCCTCTCCTTACCAAGGTCACAGAACTGATTTAAATCCGGGTTGATGGGCTCAAAAGCCCATGGCCTTAGCCATTGATAGATGAGAAAAAGTGTATTTATATTTACGTATCATAAATTCTGTAATAACACAAGCATCATCTGGTACAGGTCAACAGCTGCCATTCACAGCGAAGTGGCAGTTCGATTTAAACTGTCGTACCAAAAACAAAGGAAATAATAAAAATAAAAACTGTCGGACCAAAAAGCTGCACCCCTACTTTACCCCTGACCTCTGACATGGTCATCTTAGTTGGGCGCCCATAGGAAACAAGCCCCAAGCTCCTGGGGCAGCAGCTTTAATCAGGAGGAATTTTTGTCTCGTGCATCCTAAGTATCCTGCCGATACACAGTTCCTGGATTAGAAACGCTCATGGAGGAAAGTCCTTGTTTCCAACAAAACTGCAGGATTTGAAGAGGTGAGATAAAATGTTCTATAAGAATATTGAGCCCAAGCATCATAATATTACATATTCAATCGTCAACCTTTCTTGCTGGGGGTGGGGGAGTGGGGACTGCTGATCCTACAGACCGATGGAGACCTACACTGGAGCTCTATGTTGGCAAATGAATGCTCCTCCCTGCTGTTAGGAACTAACTCCATTTTGCTTTTGGAGAGAACCAGAGCAGAGAGGTTTTAGCACCAAATCAACAGCCCATTTGCCATTGCTTGAATGTTTACCAGCCTGACCTGCACATGCCCTAAGAGACCACATCTACAAGCAGCCAAATAAAACCACAACTCTGGTGCAGGAGACCCAGCAACCTGAGGGAGGAAGACAGCCTGAGCCAATAGGATCGAAGTAAAATGAGATGAAACAGAAGAGAACTTTAAAAAATAAAAAGTATTCCAGAAAAAGAAGGAAACCCTAATCATTTCAAGAATCATTTGGGAAGGAAATGCAAACTGATGTATATATTCTGTTACTATGTATGTCTGTAATGTGAAAATTGGTGCACATAAAGAATTAAGTCATTAAAACCAAACAGGTACTTGCTCATACACAATTTTCCACCAGGAGCCGGTGTGCGGCGCTATTGGGTAACACCAGGTAAATGTGAAAAGCATTTCACATGCGATCATAATGACCTGTGGGAGAATAATGCAAAACACCTTATCTCTCCACTTCACCCAAGCCAAGTGCACTGCCGGCTGCAATTTCTCAGTAAAACCCGAGGACGTGTCCATATTAGAAGGCAAAAGGAGCCTCAAGTACTGCAATGTTTCGAAGTAAGAAAATGTGACATTGCAATGTCCAGTTGGCCCAAAGTAATACAAGGAGGAACAGAGGAGACAACGCCGAGAACGAAAGCAACAGAGGGCTTCATCTTAACTTCCAATAATTGCCCGCTCTCCTGGTAACTGAAAATGGGAAAGGCCTCCTCTGCAGTTGGCTGAAGATAACTGCAGCCTCATGCAGCATGAGAGCAGTTGTGCCATCTGATCTCACCTGGGGCCACAGGACAGCTTCTGTATGTGGGGCGCAAAGAACACAACCATGGGCGTTGGATTTCTGTTTTAAGCCAGTTCGGAGGAACGGAGAAACAAGACAAGAAGTCAGAGCCATCTACCCCATTTCCTTTGAAAAATTATAAACACCTCTACCGGGCAAACTTCATTTTCTTCTCAAAATAACATTCTATATCTAATAGAATGTGTCTTTATGAGGAACTTAAGATGCTTAAATTAAAATTGTGGTAGTTTTCTTGTATCACTTACATGATGGGTCAGTGTTTGTTTTCTGCCACAACTCCATTTTCCCATACGTCCTTTTATTTTGGGGGCACAAAATTCCATCGCAGAGGGATTCTTTTTTAGGAATGCATACACCACATTGTAGGATTATTGGACATATGTCCTCACTGTAATTATTGGTTCATCACATCCTTCAGCAGAAGTGACCACAAGTGAGATACTGTACAAAGTCTGGTGCCATCTCCTTGTCAGGGCTGGGCCACAGTAGGGATCTCCTCATTGCAAGACCTCCTAAATGGGCAGAGCAACGCTGTTGTCAGAGCCTATTCACCCCTCTAGGTTCAAACAGGACCCAGCAGATGAGCCAACATAAAGTAAGTCTTCAAAGCCATCCTTTGCCCAGAATGCAATCCTTTCCTTTCATATTCCAATTTCTACTCTAAATTTACAAAGTGAATACTAAGGACTGTGGCTGCCCAGATTGATAAATAATGTCTCTTGATTTAGACATACGGGGCCATGGGCTGGCCCAGAGACTAGGACTGGTGGTCATGAAGCAACACTGCCATCTTTAAAAGGATCGAAGGGCAGAATTTTGTTTCACTTGTAAGATTTAACCCAAATGAAGGAGGTTTAAAATATGCATGCGCAAACAAAATGGAAACAGACTCATAGATACAGAGAAAAGACTAAAGTAGAGGGAGTAGAGGGTGGGTGAAAAAGGTGAAGTGATTAAGAAGTACAAAGTACGCTGGCTGGGTTTTCTCCGTGGTTAGAGTGTTGGCCAGCGGACTCAAGGGTCTTGGGTTCGAGTAGTGGGTTTGATTCCCTGTCAGGGGCATGTACCTGGGTTGCAGGTTCCCCAGCCCCGGTAGGGGTGCATGTGGGAAGCAACCAACTGATGTTTCTTCCCCTCCTCCCCTTCTCCCTCTTCCTCTTCTCTCCCTCTCTCCCACTCTCTCTTGAAATCAATGGGAAAAATAACTATGTGTGGTGCCAAGTGGGTACTGGAAACATGGGGGGAAATCACTTTGTAAAGTATATGATTGTCTTACCAATACAAAATAATATTGGATGTAAACTGTAATTGAAAAAAAAAATCTCCTGGAAAAAAATGCATGTAAATTGCCGTTTTTATCATATTCTAACTACAGTTTCTTCTCTTTTCTTGCTAATTCCCTCCAAGTCAGATCTCGACACTGCTCCCCTGCCTGTGCCCCCATTTTTTTTTCTATGCTGCAGTTGACTGATTTGTTTTCCTACCTTCTGGAAAACGGGGTTCGTCCCACCCTCAGCCAAGAACAACATTCAATGTCCAGGTCTTTCCTGGCTGAAAATCCCACCATGGAACAGGTAGCAAGTTCTGAGTGTGCGAAGCCAGAAGCCCCAGGAGGGATCCTGCTGCCAATCTCTACAATGCCCCGTTTGAATTGGATAGAACCCTATTTCAGAAGGTCCGATCCTTCCAAGACAGACATTAAGGCTCCAGTTCAACTTAAACACAGACTCTTACAGAGAAATGGTAATTCTCTCTCCCTCTCTGCCCAAAAACCTAAAGTAAGAGTTGAGTACTTTTGCAGCATCACTACTGCTCGGGGCTTCGCCTTCAAAGAATGCAAACCTGAGCTCCGCTACTGGTAAAACAGAGGCAGTCACTGCCCCCGAGGGCCAGCTTTCATGAGGTGGGCTGCCAGGAAGCCTGAGGATCCATTTTCCACGTGGAGACAGCACACAGCACCTCTGAAGGACACACACGTCTGTGTCACTTCCATTTGGTCCATTAGAAGCTCTTTGATTTCAAACCAATCTTCATTTCAAGGCTGAACTTCGAGCTCAGCCCTCCCTTTTTAATTCCAACGTTAATACCTATGAAAGGCTTGCAAACAGTGGCTGCTAGAAGACCCTGTGTTGCTAGTGGAACACCTGTGCCTTTGTAGGTCGCTGTGGGGCTCCAGCTTGTCCACCTGTATTCAATCATTCAGAATCGACCCTGAGATGACAATGCTACCTGGCATCTTTGTTAGCCATCACAGAACTAAAAAGGGCCTTGAGGTTTAAAGAAAATTCTGAATATAAAGCATCTGCCCTTGGCTTTTTTTGGCAGTCACAAAGTCCAAATCAAATATTTTTATAACTTCTTAGAAAAGTGATTTTATTATTATGCACTGTTACTGCACAGAGTGTGTGTGCAGAGCAGAAAGTCTTGCAGAAATGTGAATGTGTATGTGCTTCAGAAAATTTGATCTGGAAGCCTAAACCTTGGAAGCAGTGGTTAGTAGCCAACTCTCCAGTCTGTATTAACCAGGGATCAATCAGGCAACCAATATTTACATTCCAGAAACTAGTCTAAGTACTTGAGATACAAATGTGAATAACAGTTGTATCCTGCGATCATGGTGTTCTGTTCCTGGTACAGACTTCCTAATCAATTTTCTAAATGATGAGAGTGTCTTTTGTTATGTTAATGAGGTGACTTGGAAAGCAGCTGAAGATGGGGGCTGGTTGTCAGGGGGCCAATCATGTGATTAGAGAGAGAGTTGGAACTTTTAGTCTCACCCCCTGACCTCTAGGGAGGAGAGAGCTGGAAGCTGAATCAATCTTCAATGGCCAATAATGTAATCAATGGTGCCTATGTAAAGAAGGCTTCATAAAAACAGAAAGATGGGGTTCAGAGAGCCTTGAGTTGGCTGAAGTTCAGTTGACTAGGGCTGGGATTTGCGGTGCTTTGCTGTGCTTGCCTCCCAGCCTCAGCGTTGGTGCAGGTCTATTTCACGGGTCTCTGGCTGCCCTTGGACTAGTGGCCAACTGAGGCAGGTTTTCTCGGTGAAAGGCAGAAACAAGAGAGTAAGTTTATGCAAGCAAATTTCAAACCTATTTTTGTATTATGTGCACTAACATCCAACAGGTCGATGTAAATCAGAGTCAAGGGCTTGGAAGATAATCTGCTGCCATGAAGGTGATGATGGAGGGTGGAGAGGAATGGGCATTTTTGTGATTTCCCCATCACCTGGCTTAAACTCCACACACCTCCCTGAGGCCTATAGGACCTGCCTATAAATTTTTGTAATGCCACCTCTCCACTCTTGTCTCCATCCACTCCTATTGTTGGACTTCACATCCCAGTCCCTCTTGAACATTGCTAATGCCCAAACAATCATGCCCTCATGCCTTGTCATGTAATAACTCTCCAATTATCCTCTCCTGACCCTATTTCCACCATGTCTGGTACACCTCAGTTCTTTCTAAGCATTTGTAGATATTTCTTCCCTGATATCTCTGTTCCCTGTACATAATATAATACATTATAAACACTCCCTTATTGTGCTATAATTGCATCTCTCTTCATTGATGAGTTGAGTTCATTGAGGACTAAGAATGTGTCTTTTCTTTTGTGTATCCCTAGCACCTAGCACAGTGTCTGGCTCTTGTAAACTTCTAAAAGAGTGCCTGGCACATAGTAAATTTATAGTCTATAATAACTGTTGTATGAGTGACAGCAGCTATATTTGCTATGTAATACTAATATATATTTCTGGGCTCTTAATAAAAGTTGACTTCTTTATTATCTAACATTATAATACAAATGTTCCTGATTAGTCACGGACCTCTACAAAGTCATTTTGGTACCCAAACACCTCCATCTCCTCATGACTCCACCCTCCTGTGAGACCTTGGAGTCTCTGCATTCAGGCGGCAAATGAGAAAGAAGCAGGTGGACAAGACACACATACTTCTTCATCCCCTTGACTTGGAATTTGGAAACATATTCCATTGGTTGAGAACATGTCTCCTAGCCCATACTAAGGGAATCTGGGCAATAAGCAACTAATTTGTATTCAAGAAGAGAATATAGTTTTGGCTGAAGGTAGCTAGTTTCTGACACAGCAGCCAATATGAAATTATCTGAGACCTCGATAGGAGTATTTTTTTGGTGATACCAGAGAAAGATGAGAAATCCAGACTTTAACCAATTAAGGAAAGAATAGACAGCCAACAACTCCAAACTGATATAGGCCCCTGCGGAGTAACAAAGCAGGTGATTGCTTCCAAACACACCTGATGTTTCTGCAGTCAGTGGCTGCTTTGATAGGAATGAAAAAAAAAAGAGTACATGTTAAGGTTTAGAAATACAGTCCAAGCCAGAATCTTTCTGGTAACCATCAATATCATTGTTCAGACATCTAGGACATGACAGCAGAAACCATCATCCTCTTTCCACACTGCCAAGCTGCTGGGTCCGTGGGCTGCTGGGTAAATGGTCACTGTGATCACTCCCATGCTTGAAAGTTATTTATAGCCATGCAGGTATAGATCCAATTCCTTCAGAAACCCCCCAGACAGGGACTGTTAGTATTTCAGGAGAAGGAATACTTCCCCAAAGCTGTAGAATGTGGACAGACGGTTACTGCTCCTGCACAGTCAGCTTTTGCGTTGCACCCAGGTTTCTAGCTTTTCTGTTGTTCAGAATCTCCAGCCTGGTTTGATAAAACATGCTCACACTTGAGTGGAATCAGATATAGAACCTGCTGGCGACACTCCAAGAACATGAGCAGGCGGCCAGTGACAAGAGAGATTTAGTTAGCAGGGCCTCCTGTGGTGTCCAAATCTGATAACTGAAATGTTTATAAAAAGAACTCTTTGTGAGTTTCAACCCTTTCAGCCTCTAACTTTGCAGTGCACAGGCACAATACAGACACATACATGAGAAAGGACAAGTAAAGTGAAAACACATGAATATTCTAATAACCCAATTCTTTTCAATACATCTGCTCAATAACTGAGCTCATTCACATACTAATGATTTCTCCTGGTGAAAGTCGAACTGATTAACACTTTTGTGACATGATTTTTAGGACATAACAAGAATAGAGTTTTAGCAGGTTTCAATGAATTTGAGCCACATGAAAGGATAGTAAAAGGTAAAAATGTCTTCAGTAATTAAATGTCTCTATTCTGGCTCACTCAGTTAGTTTTGCTTTGTTACCATACAAGATTCATTTTAGATCTGAAAAGAAAAAGATAGTTTTACTTATCTGGGCTTTGTCATAAAACATCTTTTAATTTAATAAAGTTGAATTTCACAACATTGATGGTGGATATTTTTTAATCAATAAGATAAAATACATTTAAACAAAGAAACAAGCAACCAAATATGGTTACTCATGCCAGCATGTTATTAATTTAGCAACGTGCAGAGAAGAAAGAAATCATTACTAACATTTATGCCTTTATTAATGCTACCAAGACAAGCAAGTCATTCCACCATTCCTGGTAATGCAGTTAGCCCTCTGCCCCTTTCATTCTCCTTTTAAAATTGTCATTGCTGCCTGGCTGGTGTGACTCAGTGGTTGAGCATCGACCTATGAACCAAGAGGTCACAGCTCGATTTCCAGTCAAGGCACATGCCCAGTTTGTGGGCTCGATCTGCAGTGTGGGGTGTGCAGGAGGCAACCCATCAGTGATTCTTATCATTAATGTTTCTATCTCTACCTCTCTGAAATCAATAAAAATATATTTTTTAAAAGTTATCATTGCCTACATCTTTCTAAACAGTAGTGCTCATTTTCTTCACTTATCCCATGCCATTAATTATGAAGATATTAAAAAGTTAATAGATTCTTTAAAAAATTTTTGTGATTTTCCTGTAAAATATTAAGCTTGTGAAAACACCCTCTTGTTGCAAAATATTTTTTCAAACAATATAGAAACGTTAAAGATGAACAGTTAAATGAAATTAACATTTACTTTAAATAAAGTAAAAGCTCCCTGCAATCCCATACCCAGGAGGTCACCATGGTTATGCATCTGGAGTTTATTCATCCCAATTTTTCAGTGCGGATAGAGGAACAGAGTAATAGGGAAGTATTGTAGAGCTATTCTACCACTTGCTTTTTTCATTTAACAAAGATGTACCTTGTGTCAGCCAAATTTTCAATTTATTCAGTCTGATAATAAGGTAAAAACTATTGCAAGTATACAAGTATACTCATGTAGTCAATTTTTGTTAATGATAGAGTTACCCTAAAAAGTATAGAATAATGAGGACTTTGTGGCAAAGAAATTCTCTGGACTCTGAGCTTGTCTAGAACAAATGACCCCTTTACATCAGTGTTTCCAATGCCACATCAAATCAGAACGAAAAGTTATGATTTTTTTAAACCAAATATTTTGGTTCATACCTTGGAAACCTTCATTCTTCATTTGAACAGCCGTTCTTGTTGGGGACGGGCCCAAAGGGATGAAGTCTTGCCTGGTTATTCCAGCCTAGATTAGTCATCCAAAATCATTCCACCCTGTTCATCCTTCTTAAGCCCCTATCTGCTACTAATACTGTATTTACTCTGGAAAAAGCAGACAAACCTCAAAACCAACATGCCATTCTAAGATCATTCTCTCTTCCTCCTCAAGTTTCTAATCTTCATGAAGTTACCATTTTTACCTTCTGCCTGTCCCTCCACCCCCACCCCTGCCCAACTCCTTAGTCATTCAATTCTGCCCATAGTACTTCCCATCAGTTCCCAAAGCTGGCTTCTCCTCTGATTCCTCACTGCACTGTTGTGCTCCAGGCCCTCTCACCTGAACCACTGTACAGGCAGCATGGTATATACAGGGGAGGGGGCATGAGCTATGGGAGCAAACCAGTCAGAGTTGGAATCCCTCTTTGCCTCTTCTATGTATGTATATATCCTTGGACATGTTACTCACCTTGCATGCTTGATCCTTTGTAAAAGGGGAACACTTACCTTATAAAAGCTAGTAGTACAAGGCTGGTTTTCATCTTCCTTGATCTTTCCCCAAACTAGTCCTTCATGTACACTATATTGCCTCCAAATAATAACTCCAATTAGGTGACTCATCTGCTTAAAGACACCCACTGACTTTCTATTGCCTCCAGGCTGAAGTTTGAACATTTTAAGCAAAGGATAGCTCTTTCACAGTCTGGTCCAAATGACCTTACCTGCTTCAACTTAGAGCAAGAAGTTAGGAAGGTCCTATGCCATTGCATTCATATTTTTCTCTCCAGCAACCCAACACATGGCTGAACCGATGGTGGGTATTAATTAGAAGTTTGCTAGGTAGATGGGTGCACACATGGACAAATACATGAACACACAATGAACACATGAATAAGTTAATATGTAGGAAGACATTTAGATACCTCTTTCTCATATTCTGAAATACCTAATGAATCTGAATTTGCAAGCTTTTATAAAAGCTGGTCATTTGAATTATTCCTGTCTCTAGAGAAAATTTAGAGCAAAATCTAGAGAAGTCTTTCCACTGTATGCAGAGTGTGATTTTTTGATTGTAAATTTTATTTACTTACTTTTTTACCTTTGTTGAAAGTATTACTGATATCCCCCATTGATCCCCTTCTCCCGACTCCCACCCGCTCCCCATGCCTTCACCACACTATTATCTCTGACCATGGCTCATGCATATATGCATATAAATTATTTGATTAATATCTTCCCACCCCCATCTTCCCTCTGAGATGTGTCAGTCTGTTCCATGCTTCTATTTTGTCAGTTTATTTTGTTCATGAGATTCTGCATATAAGTGAGATATGTGATATTTGTCTTTCTCTGATTGACTTATTTCACTTAGCATAATAATCTTCAGGTCCCTTCATATTGTCTCAAAAGGTAAGAGATCCTTTTTATAGCTGCATAATATTCCATTGTGTAAATGTACTGCAGCTTTTTTATCCACTCATCTACTGATGGGTCACTTGGCCTATTTCCAGATCTTAGCTATTATAAATAATGCTGCTATGAACATTAGATTATAAATGAAACTGTGCTAGGATGAAATGATTCTAAACATTTATTCAGCAGCTGTCAAGTGTTAAGCACACTCAGGCAATCTGAAACCTCTTAAAGAATGTACATAAGTAATATGGGAGCACAGAGGTTAAAGAACTAACTAGAAAAGGTGACTGTGGTGTCATGATTATCAAGGTTGTCCAGGTGGTTGTGTTGGGGCTCAGGGAAGGCTTCTCACAGGAAGAGGAGCCTGGCTGAGTTTCAAAGATTGAGTATGAATATAAGTAGGTGAGGCAGAAACTAGGGTGAGGCAGAAAAGTAGGGCTTTCTGAGCTGCAAAAAGAAAGCATGTCAGAGATAAACAAGAGAGGGCATGCAACAAGTGTTTTGCAACTAGTTCATTGTGGCTGTAGTTTGGAGAAAATTTGGCTGAGAGATACGTTTCAAAATAAAATAGAAAAAAATAGGTTGGAGAATTTGTGCAAACAAAAATGCAAGGATAGTAGAAGGCAGGATACTCTTCAGGTGATTTCATTCATTCCTGTGGCCTAAATACTACCTACATGTGCATGACCATTAAACCTCTATCTCCAGTACCTCTTGTAAGCTCCAACTCTCCTTTTAACACTTCTCACTCAGGTATTTCATAAACAGAACTCTTTAACCTCTCCACCCAACTCTAATTTCCAGAGGGATATATGTATCTCCATCCACCTAGTTGTTAGTTTCCATTTCTAGTTAACTCACAAGTCCTGTCAATACCACAAGCTGTTAGTCCTCCACCATCTTTCATCAGACCATGGCAATGTTTTCTCATCCACTATGATCCCCTCCTATCCATTCTCCACTGTGCAACCAGAATAATCTGAATAATAATCTGACTAGTCTATTGGTCACCTGAGGTGCTTGGTTAAAAAAAGCAAAGTTCCTAACCCAGACAACTAAAACAGAATCTTTGGGGATTCCTCTGAGTCCAGAAGTCTGTGGTTTAATGAGCCTCATCTCCACCCCTTTTTGCAATTAACATTACCAATATGTGGGGCAGAGTAGCCTAGAGGTTAAGAGTCATCTACTTGATTTCTGGTCAGGGCACATGCTCAATTCCCAATGGTGGGCATCAGGAGGCAGCTGATCAATGATTCTCTCTCATCACTGATGTTTCTCTCTCCCTCTCCCTTCCTCTCTGAAATCAATAATATTTTTTTTAAAATAAGAGAAGATAACTTGAGTCAAAATGCCTAGTTCTGAAGTCTAGATGCGTGTCCTTGGGCAAGTAACTTACCTTTTCTGTTCTTCTGTCTCCTCATTTGGACAATAGTGAACCAGCTCTTGGGTTGCTATGACAATGAAGTTAGTTAAAACATAGTGGTAGTTTTTATTGCTTGTCACCAATATTTCTGGTTCTCTTCTGCTTCCAAGTACATGAGGAGATTGTACTTCTCCACCTCTATGAAGCTAAATGTGCTCATGCAATTTACGTAGGACATTGAAAGGTGAGTGGAAGTACTGTGTGTCACTTCTGAGGGAAGCTGGAGATGTTTCTCCATGCTCTCCCTTCTCTCTCTTGGCAGTCATGAAAGTACGTGCTCATATGGAAGTGTCCAAGAGAGCAGCCATGTGGAACAGTGAACCAAGACATGGAGGACAGTTGTCCTACTCTCTTGTGTGAGCAAGTAATAGAGTTGTGCTAAGCTCCTGAAATGTTAGGGCTTTTATTACCATAGCATAGCATAGTCCAACCTAACAGGTACAATGTTAAAACCTTTGGAGTAGGCCTGGCTGATAGTAACAGCCCAATGACAGCTTCAAAATGAACTGGAGCAACATGGCTCACTGGAAGATCAATTTTCCCTTCACTAACTTAAAACATACACCTGATCATGTCACTCCTCGGTTGAAAACCTATCAATTGCTTCTCATAGGACTTAAAACCTAAATCACTAACTTGGTGCACACAGCCCTGCTGGCTTTGGTCTCCAGCCTTATCTGTTTACTCTTCCATTCACTCTCCTGCCACATGGACCTTCTTTGTTTCTTGAACATGACAAGCACTTTCCTGATAAAGGGCCTTTGTCCTTGACAAGATCTGAGCTTGAATTTCCTTTCCACACTTTTTCTCATCATCATGTGTCAACTAAAATGTCATGCCCTCAGAGAAGCCCTCCCTGTCTACCCAGTGAAAACAGATGATCCTTTGTACCTCTTCATAGTCCTATCTCTGCACTTTTCCTGCATCTTTCATACCATTCGTCACAATTTGAAATTAATTCTGCTTATTTGTTCACTCGTTTCTTATCTTTCTTTAGCTAGAGAGGAAGCTCCATCAGGTCAAACCACAGCTCTCTTGTCCATGGTTTTATCTTCTGAACTCGAACAGTTCCTGGTACACAGAAAAATTAGTTATGGAAGGTTGGAGTTGGGCAGGGGAGGTGGAAAAGAAATGGGGAGGAAGAGTTGCCCTGGAATTAAATGGAACCCCATTTGAATACAAACTATTACCTTAAAATGATTATTCCCCAAAGAAATTGAGTTTCTAATAAAAGTGGTGAAAGTTCTGAAGATTGAATTTTTTTATGAAATGATGGGTTCTGAAACTATATCAACTATAAATTAAGATATAAGTATATTTCTGTCAAAATAGGCAAGTCAATAAAAAATGCAATCCAAAATCAGATTTTATTTCAAGGCAATGTGCTATAAACACAAAAGTCCTAGATCTGAGTTACACCTTTTATTCTGAACATTTCACTCAATAAAAATCTAATATATTGGGTCCAAGTGATGACACATTCCAAACTAATGAAACTTTCCTGTAGCTTAAATAAACAAATTCAGATCACCAAGTAAAATCAAAGCCAAGTATATTTGCATAACTCAAGAGTGATATGAACGAATTAAAACCTCTAATGGTTTATACTTCACTACTTATAACGAACTTTGAGAGTCTTTTGAGTGACACCTTATGAGACTGAATTTCCAAGGACCAAATACTAAAACATATAGAATATCCTCCCTCTACTCACTTGTTAAAAGACTAAGAAATCTTAGATACAAAAGTCTGAGGTGACTGATGACATACCCCAGTCATATAAAGGAGGAGTTCTGTTAAATGATTCTGGGTCAGACCATCCTGATGAACCTTGGGCAAGCTTTCCTCTTTACCATTCCTGTTCTCTACACCTGGAGTCATATTGTGTAACTAAAAGGAGACAGCTGTTGGTTATCTGCTCACTGTCTTCTCGCATTCCTCAAACATGTCAAAAACTCTTTGCTGGATCCCCAAAGGCAAACAAGTAGACCCTGGAAGAATCCAGCTTCTGGTGAAAACTGACCTCATCTCTACCATATAAAAGTAGCTGTTACTAGACAGACGCTACAGGGAAAAAGAGCATACAAGTATGGTTCTCTTTCACTTCTATTTTCAACAGTAAATAACAGGACCCAAATCTTTCTCAAATATCTAGATTTTTTTCCTTTGTGAACAAAAGATAAATTATAGTTATAAGTAGGTCATTAGGGGTTAGAGTTTATTAGATTCAACCTCATTTCTTCTCTGCTTTTTAGTTTTCCAGGTTTTTTTTTGTTTTTTTTTTTTTGGTTGTTAATACCAGAAGATATATGGGCTCTTCAGCCAACCATTCATCAACATTTATTTATCAGTCTTGCATTTTCACTGTCATTGCTGTTTGATAGGTTATAAATGAATGATAAAATTCAAGTCAACTTCTTCTGTTAAACTTTATACTACACTTAGAATGAACAAATGAATGTTTGAATGTATGTTTGAATGCCTGTCTGAAGGAAGCCGATTCTTATTTTTCTGTTTAAAACTCAGCTACGTTGAAGGCGACTTTTAGAAATGCAGTAAAAAGAGTCCACACACACTGTTTTAAATTTTTATTTGCTTACAAAAGAGAACGGAAACAGGTTTGCAAAAACTTATCTGCATGTCCAACGTAAGCCATGTAGATAAGGAGGGCAAGCCTTGGAACACCACTGGGTAAACTGTTCATCAAAATGAGATCGGTTTGCATCGGAACCGGTGGAAAGTCATTATTGTACATGGCAAAAACCACTGCAAAACGAAATCTATTTTTCATAGCACCAGATTAAGAAAGGTTCTATTGTAACATGTCCTTGGACAGCAGTGAAAGCAGCTATCAAGTGATCTCAGAGTTGGATACATCAATTGACAAAGAGGTAGTTTCTCCCTTTTTTCTTTTCAGCAAGGTTACAGGGGACAGGAATCAATGGCATCATCTTTGAATCTCTTTAAATTCCTGTTCTGCGAGGACCCCATGTCCCTCGAATACAATCACATCTGTTTTGTTGCATTTTAGGACCCGAGATCATCTAACACAGAAAAGTTTCCGTAGTTCAACTTTTTGGCCAAATTTTCTCCGAGAACTCCTCTGGAAAAACCAGTGATCTGGCATGTCATTAAAGCAACCAAGAAAAAATCAATCCTATGGCATCATAGATGGAGGGTTTTTAAAAAATGTAATTCTTTTTGTCAATAATAACAATATCCAAGGAAGAGATTTAGGCTGATGAAACAAGCCCCTAGATAGAAGGTAGTATACAAACCACATTATGACATTCTTCTTGAACAAGTGCCCGTAAGAGTTCTTGCAGTTGGTCTTCCAATTTCTTGTGAGGCCATCAGATCCCAGAGCCCCACAATTCCATCGCTTCCAGCTCGTCTTGGACAGGAGTGAATTCCGGCTGATCAGGATGGGGAGCTAGAGAGGAAGAGCGCGGTAGGGACTTGATAGGACCCAGAAACCAAAAATTGATCATCTCCCCTCACAGAGATGTAGATTTGATCATTAAACTAGAGAGATAGCCTGCTTGGGTAGAAAGCAGTAGCTCCCTTTACCCACTACACCGCTGGTTCCTTCCCCAGGAGGTTTCAGATGATTAGTAAGTGAAGGAAGGGACAGATACATGACAGACGTTGTTAGAAAACTAGAATCACAGCCATCTGATTAAATATTATGTGTTTTATTTACAAAAGGAACCTTGAAAACTCAGCAGAATTATGAAAAATAAATTTTAAAAATCAATCTCATGTTAGAAGTCCATCACCAGGGGGCAGTAGGAAGGGGAGGTGATCAGAAGAATGGAGAGCAGGGTGAGCAGAAAGAAAGATGCCCATCAATCTTGTGTGGGTACAGGATAGAGGAGAAGGCTCATGTAAGTAACTTTATTACTGAGCATTCATTCAGGGGAGTTTGGCATAAATTCTTGGTACACAACCATATTCCTCTATCCAAGCTCATATGGAGCAATCTGTTTGTAATACAATTGACCCATGTGATTTGGTTAAATTCCAGTAGTATTGACATTGTGTGGTGGGAGCAGAGATGTGATAGTGGGCAGATAGGGAAGCAGGTAAGGCAGGGAAGCAGAGTGCCCATTGTTAGGGGCAGGGGCTGCGTGGTGGTGGTCAACAAGACAGTTCTGTATCCAGAGCCAATTTCCCAGGCCAATGTCCTCAGAGTGGAGGAGTTCTACTTCAGTGCTGGTAGTCATTGTAAGGGATCAGATCTTAGTAAAGGACAGAGAGATTTGAGGAAATAGGGAGGGAAGAGATGGACAGAGAAAAACACATCAGCAAAACTCTGACCAGTTCCTCTGGCAAATAAGGTTAAATTTCTCCTAAAGCAGAAAATTTAAATTTATTGACTAATAAGCTCATTGCCTCAAAGCAGTCTCTGAATCTTCCTCTTGATGCTTCCAAGAACGACTATGTCAGAAAATGTCTCATTGCACAATCCGCCAGCACGCAGACTGCAGATGTTTATAGGGAGCATAATCTTTTCAGAATCACAGTCCAGTAGTTAGTAACGAGGCAAGGACAGCATGGCCAATTATGTTTCTTCTGAAAACTATCTTTGGTCATCCATGCATGGGGTGGGCAGGATGTCACCCCAAAGAATCTAGGGGATCCCAGTTATGGGGAAGTTCTAAGTTTGAAGTTTCCCCCAAATAAGAGTAAATTTTACAGGACACCATGGCCATACCACAGCAATAACATAGCATGAGGGGCCCAAAAGTACGTTCAAACATGTCCTCCAATGACTAAATATGAGCTCAGAGGCCAACTCTGTGTGAACTGCCATTTGGAAGCAAGGAAGACTTAGCTGTGCTGTTATTTTGAACTTCCGGTATTTTAAAGAGTTAGCCTCTAGAGTCATATGCACTTTATAGAAGATGCCCCTGGAAGTTCAAGCTCTGCTTCCCTCCCATATTTGGTCTATTTTTCATAGCACCCCTTCACCGCTATGGCACAAATTATAGTAAAACATTGGTTAAAGCCCACAAGAGGCTGGCACTTACCTCCCACCCCGTAGGCTGAACATGAAGAGGGGTCGCAGTATCCAGGCTGGCCGGAAGGACCTTGTGGTCCAGGCACCCCCAGGTGACCTGGTGGACCCCTTGGTCCAGGAGAGCCAGGGGGCCCCGGGCTTCCTGACCGACTCTCCCCTGCAGGTCCTAAAAAGCACCCACAATGAAAACAGTTGGTCTTTTATGACAATAAGGTGAGTTTTGAGATCACCAAGAAGTAAACTACTCTTACGAGAAGCAACCTTACACATCTCAACAATTAGAGCAACCTGCCTCTCTCTACTCATTGAGTGCTTCTCCCTAAACTGGGTTCCCTAGACAGAAGAACATACTGGAATCACACATTATCCTGGAGGACAACCCTTTTAATCAGCTCAGAAAACTAGAAAACAAAATCAATTCTTTTCTAGCACCTCTTGGATATTAAAGGAGAAGGAACATAGCACTCTCAACCTTGTTTTCTCTGTGGAGCTTCTTTTTCCCAATATGAATCCAATGTATGGGTGTGCATGCATGTGTACGTGCACACACACACACACACACACACACAAACGCATGAACATTCTCAAGCTCAACCTCATCATCTGTACTGGTTTATGGCCCCAGATAATTGAAGTAAATTAGTCTGAGTCTGAAAGAAATTATTCTACATGAGAAAAAGATAAAGTCTACAACTGGACCCAACATACTAATCCAAAACGTCTTTAGGCTAGCTTATATTAATTGAGAACTTAGATTGTGTGAAAATGGGGATTAAAATTTTTGTGAAATTAAAAAGATTGTTAGGTTGGGTTTTTTCGTTTTTGGTTTTCATTTGTTTTTATGTTTGTTGGTGTGTGGTTTTTTTAAAATACACACATATATATATATATATATATATATTTAAAGCACATCATTAAAATATCCAGTATTTATTTGTACAAATGTCTC